CAGGTCGTCTCATTGAGCCACAAGAACTCATTTTCAAGAGAGACCTGTTTAGGGAGCAGATGGGGGTTAAGGGCCTTGCTCATGGGCCCAGAGTTTAGTTCATTTCAGCACTCGCACAGTATTGTTGTATAAAATGCAGCTTCTCTAGTTTATTTTACGTTTTAGTAAAAGTCAAACTTTGACTCTGATTTTCTTTCACACTCAATCTAATTACTGCAGATTAATTTTGACCCGTGCCCGAGTTTAAAGTTTAGAGTACTGGTAGATTAAATATAATAGGGGGCATGTGAACATCACCTGGTTGTCGTTACATGTTGGGTAATGTTTAGTCAAAAATAATAAACCTCTGCGAAACAAAATTAATAAATAATAACCAAGCATCCAAACAATTCACCTTACCAGAGTCACATACTGTATGTAGCCTTTTGCTTAGAGTCCTGTAAATATTTAGCTCAGGTACTCTTTACTGGTTGTTCTATTTTTAGCTGATATCTGTGCTCTGCTGTCTACAGGCCCAGCTTGTGGCTGCTGTGATATGAGATACATTTGCTAAACTTCTGCAGAAGATACAGACAGAAAGTCAGATAGCAGGTAAAAAAAAATTGGACATAAAGTCAGAGAGACCGAAGCCACGGTTGGAGCGGTGATCCTGTTACTGCCACAGCTCCTCTCCCACCTTATCAACAGTTATTCAGCTTTCTGATTGAACCAGGGATGTCATAGTCTCTGGCTGAAAAAGATTGCACCAGTTTTTTTATTTTATTCTACACTACACCCTCCTCTTTCCTGGATTCTCTGACTCTGCAGCTTCTGATGGTTATTTAGTTATTTGTAGACTTTTCATATTTAGGCCTGTATAGCTCATTATTACAGCCAACGAGCTCGTCTGTGTGAATGGAAGCTTCTCTAATGCCCTGAGGATTTATGGTCTTTGAGCATGCAAAAACAAACAAACAAACAAACAAAAAAGGACAACACAGCCCGACATGCTGCTTTATCTTTAATGGATTCCCAACAAATTAACTTATTCTTCTTACTAAAACTGCAAAACAGCATTTAAACTTTAGAAAAGTCAAGATCTAGAAAATGTTTTTCACTGAAGCTTTTGTTTTCTTTTATCGTCATATTAGAGTCTCAGTCTTCTGTTACTTACCAATAAAGCAAATACGAGGCAAAACCAAAAGTAATTGATGTTTGAGTGAACCGTTTGGACCTCCACAGGCTGCAGTAATCTAATTGTTAGACGACAAGGTTTATACAGCCAGATATTTCAACAACGCCACCTGTTGTCTTCTCTAAATCGTTTAAAATGACACAAATCAAAGCACAAACTACGTCAGTTTTAAAGGTCAAAGGTGTGGAAATTCTGCTTTATGCAATGCCATGACACGAATGTTGCCACAAACAAAAACGAGTCCCACTTTACAATAAGGCTCCCCTTATAGATGGCTAATAAATACAATGGTTTATAGATATGTTATTAATACCTCTATAAACACTTTATAAATCATTAATAAATGTTTATTATGCATTCATTAAGAGTGATAGAGAGACAAAACTGACCAGTTTGTTACCAAATAATGAGCCAAATCTGTTCTACATATTTCATCTAGAGTTAAAGTAAATATTTCAAACTAAGTTACTACTTTGTAAGCACAATAAACATTTGTAAACCTATTTATTGGGAGATAATATTAGTTGTAGTTACTTATAATGCAGCAATAAAGTACATTATTATAAAGAAAAAAGTATTATTGTGCTTACAAGGTAGTAACTTACGTCTGAAATATTTAATATAGCTGGATGAAATATAAATGTGAACAGATTTGGCTCATTATTTCACAACAAACTGGCCAGTTTTCTCTCTCTGTCACCCTTAATTTATGCATAATAAGCAATTATTAATGATTTATAAAGTGTTTATAGAGGAATTAATAACATATCTATAAACTATTTATTAGCCATCTATAAGGGGAGCCTTATTGTAAAGTGGTACCCATAAACGTTTTATTAAACCTAATTAAAAAAAAAGTGTAATTTCTTACACCTAACCTGATAAATGGTCAAAATGTCACAAAGAAATTAGTTACCTGAAGTTAAACAAGTATTTAGATTTTTCATAAAGTGGTTAGAACGAGTGCCTAGACGTAAGAAAGAAATTGATTTGTAAATCTAAATATCTCCATAAATCTAATTACCGGTAGTTAGTTTTATATTTCATGCGACCCATTAGATACAAAGTTAAAATGCATGAATCTGTTTCCTAAACTGACCTCAGTAGTTTATGCCTAAACCTAAGCAGCCAGTGAAGATGATGGAAAAAGAACAGATTCTTTTGAAGAGTGGAAAAAGTGATCATGAGTTGTTGCAGTCCTCCTTCATATGAGGTTTGTTTAAAGCTCAACAGTCCAGAATAATGCAGTAATGTCTTCTTCTAACAGCTAATGTTGAATTATCACTTTAGAGCACAGGAAGCAGCACATGCTGACCAGACGGGCATAAAACTGATTACATATTTTTCAGACTATAAGGCGCGACGGATTATAAGGTGCAGTAAGCGAAACAAGTTCATTTTGACAGATTTTTGAGCGCCACATGAAATGGGTTTGAGATCAGTAAGCACAACCAGAATTAATTCATAAGGCTCGCTGTCGATTTTTGAGAAAATTAAAGGATTTTAAGTGTGCCTTATAGTATGAAAAATATGATAATTAGCTGTATTTGACAGCTTGGATTAAAGTACAGGTTGTTTTGATTTAATAAAGAATTAATTTGGGTCAGAAAAAGTTTGTCTAGTTATTATGGTAACTATATTTACAAACAAAGTCTTATACACTTTACTGTTGGGTCCTAAAATGTCTGATGATAAAAAAAAAATTGTAGCCAGAAAAAAAACAAAACATATTTGTATTATTTTATGCAATTTACAATGCACGTCAAAACACACACTTTGCAAACAATATAAGATGTTCGAATCCTTAATATTTATATTAGTTCTTGTTCTTCAGCCGAGAAATTTATAGAAAATAAAAAGTAATCTTGAAACTAATTTTGAAAATAAAAAAGATCTTTTGTGTTTTTACAGCAGATATTTCACATACAGTGGAGGTTTAATGATGGAGGTTTACAGACTGATGTTATTGTCATGTCTGTTGAGAAGAAATCTACTGTAGATGTTACTTTTTATACAAGATGGCACTGGAACAAATTCAGGATGTTAGAATATGAACAGTGACAGCAGGTAAGATTCACGTTTTTAGAAAAAAGAAGAGAAAATAAAATAAAATAAAATAAAGAGGAAACAGGTAACACTTTACAAGGTACACAAAATTTTATTAACTACTAGGGAACACCTCAGGAATGAATCAGGAGCTAATGGGTAGTCAACCAGTACTTACTGGGGAACACACAGTTAAGCCTTATTAGGGGACTACTGGTTAGTTACCTTGTAAATGAAGAGGAACTAATCAAGAACTAATGGGTAGTTACCATGAAAAGCAAAGAGAAACGAATCAGGAGCTAATGGGTAGTTAACCAGTACTTACTGGGGAATGCACAACTAAGTTTCATTAGGGGACTACTGGTTTGTTACCACAGAAATGGAGGAAAAGTTCTGAATAAACCCTGCACCAGTGAGGTCACAGCTCGTAATTGTCAAAAACCAGTTTCCTAGTGATTACAGATGTCATTGTATTTTCTGTTTTGTAAACCTATTGGTTAACTACCCATTAATTCTTGATTAGTTCCTCTTCATTTACAAGGAAACTAACCAGTAGTCCCCTAATAAGGCTTGGCTGTGTGTTCCTCAGTAAGTACTGGTTAACTACACATTAGCTCCTGATTCGTTTCTTTTGGGTTTCATGGTAACTACCCATTAATTCTTGATTAGTTCCTCTTCATTTACAAAGAAACTAACAAGTAGTTCCCTAATAAGTCTTGGCTGTGTGTTCCCCAGTAAGTACTGATTTATTACCCATTAGCTCCTGATTCGTTCTTCTTTGGTTTCTATGGTAACTACCTA